ATCTAGCAGTTCGAAAGCAAGAAATTGCAAGTAGATCAATAGGTACCACTTCGGTGGGAAGGTAACAGCGTTCCGTGCACCTCGGCGTCTAGTCATGCCGGCCACATGACCACAGAAACGTCTTCGGACAGTGCTGGCTCTTCGGCTTTGAAATGGAGATGAGCACCGCAACCCTAGAGTTGGATTCGACTGGCTTTCGAGCAAGGGAACCTTTACCTTTTTAAGCTAAAGATGCCACAGGTGCTGGCCCACTCCAGAATCACCAATTTCAGGAGGGGTGTCGAAAGTCCTGAGTCAGATTGAGGTGACAAGAGAAGAGGTCCTTCGACTGATGGGCAAATTAAAAACTGACCGATCACCAGGCCCAGATGGCATACATCCTAGAGTTCTAAAATAATACAAATGTGAACTCGTGGATCTCCTGACAAAAATATGCAATATCACTAAAATTTGCCTCCATTCCCAAGGACTGGAAGGTAGCTAATGTAACCCCCATCTTTTAAAAAATGATCCAGAGGAGATCCGAGAAATTACAGGCCGGTCAGTCTAATGCCGATACTGGGTAAGTTGGAGGAATCCATTATCAAAGATGAACCAAAGCTATTGAGGAGGAATCAGCATAAATTCTGTAAGGGAAGATTCTGTCACACTAACCTGTTAAGAGTTTTTTTGAGGGGGTGAACAGATATGTGGACAAGGGTAACCTAGTAGTTGTTGTTTACCTAGACTTCCAGGAAGCTTTTGATCGCATTCCCCATCAAAGGCTCCTAAGTAAACTCAGCAGTCATGGGGTAAGAGGACAAGTCCTATTGTGGATTTAAAACTGGCTAATAGGAAACAGAGAGTGAGTATAAATGGGCAGTTTTCACAGTGAAGGGTGTTAAGCAGTTGGTACCTCAGGACTGAGTACTGCGTCCGGTGCTTTTTAATTGTTCATTAATGGTTTGGATTTGGGAATAAGCAGTGATAGGGATTGTAATGCTTATCCTGAGAAACTAAAAAAAAAGTTTTAAAAAGATACAGCATTGGAAAAGGTGCAGAAATGGGCAACTGAAACAATTAAGGAGATGGAACACTTCCCTATGACGAAAGGTTGAGGGGTGACATGATCGAGGTTTATGAAATTATCAGTGGGATAGAGAAGGTAGAGAAAGAAGTACTTTTCTCCCTTCCTCACAATACAAGAACTGGTGGACACTCAATGAAATTAAGGAGCAGTAGGCTTAGAATACATAAAAGGAAGTACTTCTTCACCCAAAGAAGAGTTAACACATGAAACTCACTGCTGCAGGAAGGGGTTGTGACTACAAGCGTAGACAGCTTCAAGAGGGGACTGGATAAACATTTGGACCAGAGGTCCATCAGCGGCTATTAGCTAGAAGGTACAGATGGAACACTCTGTCTGGAGCAGTGATGCTCTGTATTCTTGGTGCATTGGGGGGAGGGCAACAGTGGGAGGGCTTTTGGAGTTCAAGCCCTGCTGGTGGACCTCCTGAGGGCACCTGGGTTTTGGACAGTGTTTCACACAG